CAACTTCTGCTCTTCTGCAGAACATTTATTATTCTGATTGGCACCCATACAACTTGCTCTTCAGGCTCAAAGTTTTGGTGTGCAGAGCAATCAAGGACTTATTCTAATCCAGTCATTACTAAAATCGTGTTCCACATTTTGTTGCAAATGCTGAAATTAATACTACGTATGGCTCTTTGAGAAGCGTTCGGGCCTCTTTTGACCGCTCCTCAATTGACCTCTGCTTCCCAGGAGACCTGGGAACAGGACTCACAACATGTAAAGAAATTTATTACTGATGGCTTTGTGTTAATGAGAGGAATTATTCAAACTCCATGGTAAAATAATTATTGCAGAGATGAGAAGTACTGTGAATGAATTAATTAAGTGGAATCTGTTACCAGCTTCTTAATGTGAAGGGTTTTAATTGAATCCACTTTCATCCAGTGGAATCCTCCCTTTGCCAGAGTGAACATTCCAGTTACACAACAGTGATCACTGCAGTTTCTGTTTTCAATATCACAGCTCCACTGAAATCTGGTTGGCAATAGACTTTTTTCCTTTTTTTAAAAAAAAGGGTAGCTTAAAATATGAAAGCAATAGTTTTCCATGAGAGCCGAGGGCCTCCAAGCTGAAAATGAGAGGAACACAAGCAGCACTAGAATGGTGTGACAAATTTGAATATAAACTGGATTGAAATCCTTAAGGCATATGGAGTTTAAATGCTGAAAATAAAGTACAAAACCTCCTGAATACTCTGAGGCCAGATTTATTGAAAGCTTGGCTGGTTTCAAGCACTCTACAAACTGCCAAAAGTGGGGTTTGGGGTCCTATTTATCCTGCTGGCTGCCAGAACAAAACAGAGAGTTGATAGATTCCAGCCTTTATTGGCAGGGTGTTATAGCAGAGGCTCTATTTTTGCCTTGAGTGGGTGGGTGGGTGGGGGCATGGTGATCTGTGTCCCAATCTGAGAAGAACTCCACAAGATAGGAGATGGCTCCAGGAAGAGGTAACAGAGGTCACCAGCACTAATGGCATGGTCCACAAGGTTGTGCAGACGATCTCAAAGAAGGTTGGTGTGGATTCAGCAGTTGCAAAGAAGGCATATTGATAAAGACCAGGGCTTTTCAACCTTTTTACTCATTGTATCACTTTTAGGATAGGGCAACATCTGAGTACCACCAGTCGCCTAGCAAGGTGTCAAAAACGTGATGACCCCCCCCCCAAAAAAGGAAAAAAGTGATAAAGTACAGGTAGTCCTTGACTCACAACAGTTCGCTTAGTGACTGTTCGAAGTTACAATGGCACTGAAAAAAGTGCCCCCCAAGCCACAGCCGAGCAAGACACCTGCCTGCCCGCCCGGTGGCGCTCTTCCTCCTGTCCGAGGTTTTCATTGTTGTGAGCATTTCTGTTGAGGATTGGCAGCGGAGGTGGGGTGGGGGGATGTTTGGTTTTTATTCCCCCTCCCCGTCTGCTAGGTGGTTGAAGCAGGTTTTGGTCACTTCACATGACACTGGGACACTGTGACGGTCATAAATATGAATCAGTTGCCAAGCATCTGAATGTAACTCACAAGACCCTGGAGATGCTGCAACATTCCAGCTGGGCTTTTTCTGGGCTCAGCAGAAGCACCAGGATCAGCGCTGAGCTCCAGCTGGACCCTGGCACTGATCCACTGAGCCCTGAAGAAGTGCTGATCCTGGCACTTCCGCTGAGCCCTGACAGCCCTGCAGCTCCAGCCATCTCTCGCTCAGGCTTGTGCGGTGCTGCCACCAGTTCAGCTCATTCCCCTCCCCCGCTACCACTTTTCTAGAATGGTCATATACCACCTGCCAGGTGCCAATGTACCACAGGTGGTATCCGTACCACTGGTTGAAAAGCCCTGATATAGACACATAGGCACCATTCACAAATAATGCTAGGTCAGATTTTTAAAATAATGGTTGGTTAAGCAAGCCACAATGGTCTAGTTCAGCCATACCACTAACAAGTGAATCATGTTCTGGTTTGGTCAAAGGGTTCTGCAGTGCTTAGAAGGAACCAATTTATCCAGGATTCACCTTAGCATAGAGGAGGTCTATCTGCATGCATGACTTTTATGAGAAAAAGAACCTTCTCGATCTTATATTTCCAATGTGGCTGCAATGGCTCAGCCTGGAGTAGGGGCAAGAATACCTCACTAAGTTTTGCATATCTTTGTACTTTTAATATTTGAAGAAGTTCCATCAAAGCTCCTCTCTTGAAACTTGGACATCACCCGAGACATTCTTTTTTAGCCAAATCTTATTTCTCATCCTGGAAAGCTTTTGGTTCTTAATTGTCATGCAGCAGTGGTAGTGTTGAAAGTTAAAAATACTTTAAATATAGCAATAGAAATAGCACTTAGACTTATATACCATTCCATAGTGCTTTATAGCACTCTATGAGTAGTTTACAGTGTGAACCTATTGTCCCCAACAATCTAGGTCCTCATTTTACCAACCTTGAAAGGATGGAAGGCTGAGTCAACCTTCACTCAACCAGGTTCGAACTCTTGGCTATGGGCAGAGTTAGCCTGCAATACTGCATTCTAACCACTGTGCCCCCAGCAAATGCACTGATATCAAAACACATAGATTATAATATTGGAGAAGCTGAAGCTCCAATATTTGGGCCACCTAATGAGAAGAGAGGACTCATTGGAAAAGACCCTGATATTGGGAAAGATTGAAGGCAAAAGGAGAAAGGAACAGCAGAGGATGAGATGGTTAGATAATCACCGACACAATGAACATCCATTTGGGCAAACTCTGGGAGACAGTGGAGGACAGGGTCTCCCGACATGCTATGGTCCATGGGGTTTGAAGAGTTGGACAAGTGACTGAACAACAATAACAAATACCAAGTAATCTAGATGGGGAAAGATCTGATACAGGATAACATAGCTTCAGATATCAACAAATTTCTTAACTCTACAGAATAGCTTTCAAGAAGATCTACCATCTATTTTCTCTCTGCAGTTCTGCTTTCCTTGTTTTCTCATTTAAGATCTGTTAAGATCTCCGTTCCTTGGGCTTCTCTCGTGGTCTTATTTGTTCAAGGTTTCCTACTTGGTGTAAATAAATTTAATCAGAGTCAGTTGTGGGTATAGACACCTCCCTAAAATTATTCACAGAGCTCTTTAACCCTGTAGGTTGAGTGAATAGAATGCAGTTTGATCTTCTATAGGTAGATTGAGAGCTTCCGATTCCACATAAGATTTAAATTATGTAAGGAAATAATTGAAATGCTTTCCTTGTGAGAAACTTCAAACTAATAACTATTCCAATTTTCCTTAGAACTGCTGCATTTCAAATTCATTTTTTTTTATAAATTAATTTACATCTGTACACACTGTTCTCTTATTTCACTTATACTAGCGCAGCAGATCTTATAAAACTTTGCTATATGTTATTGTAGGGCAACATCTTATTATAAATGGGAGTGGCTGAGGATGAAAGAAGTACTATAATGGAAAATGGGAATTATAAAATCAAGTATCAAAAGTACACTAAATTGCCTATTCCTATTTGAAAGACATCTTTAAGTACTTGTTTCTGGCAGTAAATGTACTGTCAGGATCTTTCATATGATTCCTGTGAAGTTTCTGTGTTTTGTTCAATAAGCAGTTAGAATATTTATGACCATTTCACATCAAGCCAAAATCTCAGGCTATTGTAGTTCCCGTGTATCAGATGCAAGAGTCTATGCAGAGGCAATCCATTCCTGCATTCATTGTAATACAGTACATGTAATTCTTAACGTACAAGCGTAACATGAGCTGTGATGGCACAGTGGTTAGAATGCAGTATTGCAGGCTACTTCTGCTGCCTGCTGCCTGTTTGCAGTTTGGCAGTTTGATTCTCACCAGCTTAAGGTTGATTCAGCTTTCCATCCTTCCTAGGTTGATAAAATGAGGACCCAGATTGTTGGGTTCAATATGCTTACATTTGTAAACCACTTAGAGAGAGAGATGTAAAGTACTGTGAAGCAGTATATAAGTCTAAGTGCTATTGCTATTGTAAGGGAGCCTGCCTTTATGTGATAATTGTAAAATGAGTGTATGGCCTTTTTTGCAGCAGATGTACACGGCAGTCATAAAGTGAATGCAGTGAACATTAAGTGAACCCATTATTTGATATGGTGTGGTTTTACTGAAAACTCTAAGTAAGTTCTGGTTTTCGGCAAAACCATTGTAAAACGTGGGCATGTGATCACGGGATGCTGCAAACAGCTGTAAATGCAGCTGGGTTGCTGAGCACCCAAAGTGTGGAAGGGGAGTGACCTTCAGAACTGGGTTGTAACTCCCTTTTCCCAAGTAGGTTATAACTTTGAGCAGTCGCTAAGTGACTTGTCATAAGACAAGGACTATCTATTTGTTGTTATTGTTGTTAGTTGCGAAGCCATGTCCGATCCATCGCTACCCCATGGACAACGTTCCTCCAGGTCTTCCTGTCCTCTACCATCTTCTGGAGTCCATTTAAGCTCACACCTACTGCTTTAGTGACTCCATTCAGCCACAACATTCTCTGTCGTCCCCTTCTTCTATTGCCCTCAAACTTTCCCAGCATTAGGCTCTTCTTCAGTAGGTGGGCTTCTCATTAGGTGGCCAAAGAAGGACTATCTATATTTAGTCTTATGCTTATCTTTGGGAAGTTTGTTTGACAACTTTCCATGAGGGATTACCAGTGTCTCTTAAAACCCTGAGAAATGCTCCATTCCAAATGGGGCAGAGAGTATAGGTTGTTCTTTGCCACAGTTGGAACCATCAATAGGTAAGTGCGTCATTGCAACTTACATGGTCTTTAAAGAGCTGATTCTATATGAAAGACAAGAAGTTAATGGGAAATGCATGACCTAATCCAAATGAAGCTTCCATGGTTGGTTTCTTGGGGTTTCTAACGTGGACACAAGAATAAGTGCTTATTGATTTATGTCTATGCTTACCTTTCCCAAGCAAATATATAAAACCTTGCATTTTCTTTCTTTTTTTTTTCCTGCAGTTATCTGGCTGATCAGTGCTGGAATGGCGGCTTCATCTACTTGATCATGTTGCGCCGAATCAAGCGCAAGGCCCCTCTTCCTCCATCAAATGGCAACAATAGTAAGAGCACTGAACCCAAAGCCAGGCCTATCTCTGAGCCCAGTGGGAAAACCACTCAAAATGGCAAAAGGACGAGAAAGTTTGGGGTCATTACTAGAACTGTGCCTGGTGGTAAGGACAGCAAGAGCACCTCCAGAACAGATAATGAGAATGGACATTGCACCCTGGATGGGTTGCATTCAGAGGCACCCAAAACAGAGAATCAAGCAGAGGATCAGCTTCTGACAGCGGACTTCCCTTTTCCAGGAGAGCATTACCGTTCCCGTCTTTCAGATGGAGGCATTCTAGACCTAAACTCCAGTGAATTATCCTTACAGGTAAAAAGTTTAAGAACTTTCGGTACTTGGATACCAGAAATATTTTTTCTTTTTTAAAAAAATGAGATGGTGTTCCTTCAATATTTCAACCTTCTTTGAATATTTAGTTGTGTGCAATACCGAAAAAGGTTAGAATGGTCTATGCTGGCCTGGGAATTCTGGGAGTTGAAGTCCACACATCTTAAACTGCCAAAGTTGAGAAACACACTACTCAAATGAATCAGTTCAAGGGCAGGATGTTTGAGTGTTAAAGCAACCACCTCTTCTTAGTAAGACTGTTTCGAATGCCTTCTTCAGTTATTTCTGCATGCTTGTCTATATAGATATTTCATGTTGCTGATGGTTCCAGTGGCAATGTGCTCTGTGCATCATGTACATATGGAGACAATATGGAGGGGTTTTAAAGTAGCTATGGGGAACCTCCTGGAGGACATGGCTGCTTTAATGCTTTAAGATTAGGAGCTTTGCTTGTACTAGTGCACTTCACAAAGTGCAAATGCACTGCTATTATATTCTGGACTGGAGCTTCAGAATTGCCCCTCCACAACTAAACACTGAAAATTCAAGCATGCTATTTGAAAAATACTTTTTGGCAGAGTAAGCAAGGCAGGAGGCCATTTCCCTTGACTTAATCATTGTATAAACTTGTGTGTTTAATGTACGTCATTAGTGCCAACTTGGTGGCAATAAGAGGCAAGCTGTTGAACTAAGAGCTGAAGTGTTGGGTGTTTGAGGCAAAATATTGAATGTTGAAACGCTGAGTGCTAAATATGAAGCTTTCAGCTCAGTTAATGCTCAAGACAAAACTGAACTGAGAGCATGGAAAGAACTCCTGCCACAGTTCTGCAGCTGTTTATGAATATGTGAAACCCAGTTGCATTTTCACGCTATGTTGAGTTTAGTTTTAATTGTGGTTAGTTTTTTTGTGGCTTAACTTGATGGGTAAACATTCATTGTTTCATGTGAATCCAGAAAATACATTAAGCATGTAGTACAATTCCAGCTGATTAGACTGTAGCTACATGTACAACTCTGGGCCCATTCTGGAGTTCTCCAGTGCAGACACTAGAAATACTGATAGAGCAGTTCAATTAGGTATTTATGTATTTTTTCAGATCTTCACTGGAAAACTAGCTTCATGCTGCAATTCTCATTAGTTTCCTTAACAAAAGCAAGTGGACTTTGTTTTCCATGTGTAGAAGGGTGGAGGCACACCTGCTGAGACACAAAACCTGATGAATCTCCATGATTAAAGGGGAGAGATCTTGCAAACCAACAGTTGAAAATGTTGGCATAGCTGTTTGCAAACCAAATGAGCTCTAGGGAATAGTCTTCCATCCGCACTTCTTGACATCATTTCCTTGGCAAGACCTTTAAACTTTCTACTATTGCAAGCACCTGAACGAATATAATCACCCTTTGTTTTTAAAATGATTTAGAAACACTATTCGCCTGGACTGATTTTTCTTTTTTTCAAAACTGGTTCTCTTCACTTGCTCATACCTTCTTTTTGCCTTCATCTAAGCTAAAGTTCATCTCAAGCCTGTGATCTTTGTTAATGTATAAGCACTCAACCCTAGATACTATATGGAGTAGACCAGGGCTTTTCAACTTTTTCACCCATTGTACCACTTTTAGGATATGGCAACATCTGATACCACCAGTTGCCTAGCAAGGTGTCAAAAACTTGATGACCAAAAAAGAAAAAAGAAAAAGAAAAAGTGATAAAGTACAGGCCGCTTTGCTGTGCCTGGAGGCTGCCACCGCCTCGTCCCCGCTGCCCGGCATATCCCGCGTCCCGCATGGCAGCGACCCACAGCCTGACTTTCTGCCGCTGGAGAGTGTCGGCCTGCTCCACCAGCAGCCACAGCCCCCCCGTGGCGGCAGGCCTCGCCGCAGCAGCCCGCCTGGGCAACCCGGCCTGGCGCTCAGCCAACCTTCGCTGCCCCGTGTGTGGCTTCCTTTTCCTTCTCCGCTATCATCGCCGCCGCCGCCTCGTCGTTTTCCTCAGGTTCCGCGGCGGGGCCTTCTCCAGTGATCTGGGTCCCCCGCGTGACTTCGCCCGTTGCCTTGGCAGCAATTGCCGCCGTTGCGGTGACGGCCAGTAACAACTTGGAGAAGTTGACCCAGCTCTTTGAGGAGCATAAGGCCAAGTACGGTCTGCCCCAAGACAAGTACTTAATGATCATCTAGCCGGCCACATTGGACCAGCCTGGGACACAGAGGGGCAATATATTTTTTTTAGAGAATGTTTGCTGTGGGTGTATGCATGTAGATGAATGGTGGCCCTGTTATATATAAATTTATTATTGTATTTAGGGTGTATGAATGCGGAAATTTTTTACTTTTTATGTATATAAATTGAGTGTGAATGTGTATTGAGTGTTTGGGGTATGAGAATGGTGGAGTCGGGGGTGGAGCCTGGTACCCCCTCTGCTGAGTGCAATAGCAAAAGTAGGGGGGGTAGGACTTACCCTTGGGCTTGGTTTGTATGGAAAGCAAGTCCGGTCAGGAAGGGAGAAGGCTGGTGAGGGTGGAGGTATTCCGGGGAGGGGAGAAGGTCGGAGCATCCCGGTCATGACTGGGATGGGCAGATATGGCGGGAGCCGAGGGACAGGCCATCTTTGGGGAATGAGGACTCGCTATGTTAGAGCGATTCCTTGTTCCGGCCCCTCAAAAGGCTCATCCTGTAGTACTGGTGACAGGGGAGTACAGGGCCCTAATTGCAGGCTGCTGTTGCTTAATGCCAGGTCCGTTGTCAGCAAAGCCCCCCTTGTCCGTGATTTAATATTGGACAGCGGGGCGGACCTGGCATGTATAACCGAAACCTGGCTGGGCCCTGAGGGGGTTGTTTCCCTCTCGGAGATGTGCCCGGACGGGTTTGTGGTGCTTCATCAGCCTCGACATCAGGGCAGGGGTGGGGGAGTGGCAGTCATCGCTCGGAAGTCCTTGAGCCCTTGTGGGATTCCTGCCCCGGAGGTTGTTGGGTGTGAGTCCCTCCTATTGAAGTTGGGTTCACGGGTTCAGTTGGGCTTGCTGCTGACGTACCTACCTCCCAGCTGCGTTGCAACAGCCCTGCCTGCGTTGCTGGAGTCAGTAGCCGGGTTGGCGGTGGAGTTCCCCAGACTTATAGTACTGGGGGACTTTAATCTGCCATCACTCGGCGATCGCTCAGAGGCGGCGCAGGAGTTCATGGCTTCCATGGGAACCATGGACCTGACCCAGGTAATTCAGGACCCAACTCATAGGGGTGGTCACACACTCGACCTTGTGTTTCTCTCGGGGCAATGGAGACATGATCTGGAATTAAGGGGAATAGAGATCTCGCCCTTGTCATGGACAGATCATTTCCTATTGAGGCTGGACTTCAGAGCATCACTCCCCCATCGCAGGGAGAGGGAGCCGACTAGGTGGTTCCGCCCCAGGCGCCTAATGGACCCAGATCGGTTCCAGGAGGAGCTTGGGGAAATACCTGACTCCCTTGTCCACAACTCGTCTGGGTCCCTGGTTGCGGCCTGGAATGAGGCGGCGTCCGGGGCCCTGGATCAATTGCGCCTTTGCGACCTCTCTGTGGTGGTGGTCCCCGGAGGGCCCCTTGGTTTACTGAGGAGCTCCGGGAGATGAAGCGCCACAAGAGACGTCTAGAGCGACGTTGGAGGGCCAGTAACTCTGAATCTGACCGATCACTATTAAGAGCCTATCTTAGGACTTATTTAGTGGCGATAAGGGCGGCAAAGCGTGTTCACTTTTCCGCACTTATTGCGTCCGCAGAATCTCGCCCGGCCGCCTTGTTTAGGGTGACCCGCTCCCTTCTTAAAGTGGAGGAGGCGGAGGAACCCTTGCAGGGGAGAGCTGAGGAGTTTGTTCAGTTTCTTTCGGACAAAATCGCTCAGATTCAGAGAGACCTGGACTCCGACTGGGCAGTGCCAGCCGAGTTGCCGGGGGCTGGTCTTAGTCATGTTATCTGGAGCGAGTTTGAGCCTGTGACCCCTGATGAAGTGGACAAGGCCGTGAGGGCAATGAATGCCGCCACCTGTTTATTGGACCCGTGCCCCTCCTGGCTGGTTTCTGCCAGTAGGGAGGTGACACGAGGCTGGCTCCAGGCGATAATCAACGCCTCCTTGATGGAGGGGTCTTTCCCGCAACCTTTAAAGGAAGCAGTGGTGAGGCCCCTCCTCAAGAAGCCTTCCCTGGACCCAGCTGTTTTGAAGAACTTTCGTCCCGTCTCCAACCTCCCCTTTGTGGGGAAGGTTGTAGAGAAGGTGGTGGCGTCTCAATTCTTGCGATCCTTGGAGGAACCAATTATCTGGACCCTTTTCAATCTGGTTTCAGGCCCGGCTACAGCACTGAGACTGCTTTGGTCGCACTGACCGATGACCTCTGGCGAGCCCGGGATAGGGGTTATTCCTCTATCCTGGTGCTTCTTGACCTCTCAGCGGCTTTCGATACCATCGACCATGGTATCCTTCTGCGTCGTCTCGGAGAGGTGGGGGTGGGTGGCACCGTATTGCGGTGGTTCTCCTCCTACCTCTCTGACAGGTCGCAGTCGGTGTTGGTGGGCGGACAGAGATCGACCCCTAGGCGCCTCGATTATGGGGTGCCTCAGGGCTCGGTCCTGTCCCCCCTCCTTTTTAACATCTACATGAAACCGCTGGGTGAGATCATTCGGCGACACGGGGTAAGGTATCATCAGTATGCGGATGATACCCAATTGTATATCTCCACCCCATGTCCTTTCAGTGAAGCAGTCGACGTGATGTGCCGGTGCCTGGAAGATGTGAGGGTCTGGATGGGGGTGAACAGGCTTAGACTCAACCCTGACAAGACCGAGTGGCTCTGGGTCTTGCCTCCCAAAGGCCAACTGGATGGTCCATCTTTAGTCCTGGGGGGGGGGGCAAATTTACCTCCCTCAGTGCAGGCACGCAACTTGGGTGTCCTCCTGGACTCACAGCTAAATTTGGAACAACATCTATTGGCTGTGGCCAGGGGGACCTTTGCAC